CTGTGATGATGGGTGTAGACCAGGGCTCCCAGGGTGATGGGTTCTGTAATGATGGGTGTAGACCAGGGCTCCCAGGGTGATGTGGTTCTGTGATGATGGGTATAGACCAGGGCTCCCAGGAACACTGCAACTTCAGTCAGTTCTTGCCATGTGGTGACACAGAGTCATCGGTATCCTGTGCCCCAGGAACCTCCTTTTGCCATCTTTAAGTATTAGTGACTCTAGTGGAAATGACTAGTGTCCCATATCAGTTTGTCTGTGTTTCCTGCATCTCCACGTCTGTCTTCAGCCCAGGCCTTCTTTCACAAAGACTCTGATGAAGTCTTTTCCTTGTTCTTCCCCTCCCTCACACTCCCACCCCCACTCTGCTCCAGTTTCGTCTTGTTATAGATCTGCAGCAAATCTTCGCCTATTTCAGACACATGTTCTCTGCAGGGGAGATGGATCCCATCTCCATCAGAGGCTGACCTTTCGCAGCCAATCAACTGTTATTTTGGTAAATGGCTTTCAACTGCACTGTCGTCCAGTTGATAACCTCCCCTTTATATTTAATGCTGCACCACGACCTGGCTGATAATTTCCCCTTCGTATTTAGTATTTTCATGTCCTGCTGAAGAAGGGCCTGCCAACTTTGGAACCATGAACCTCTTCCCTCTCGTTCCGAGGGCACTGTAGACTTCTGTTTTTCTAATTACACAGTACATTGGAAACTGTGGTGTGAAGTAGGGATTAAGATTTACTGGTGTCCACACTGGAAACAAGTTGGGGATTTAGAGAGAGAGAGACATATAGACTGGAAAAAATCACATCCTCCACATTGTATCAGTGCCATTTGTCATATGCCGAGTGACCTTACATACCCAGGTCTGCAGCCAGAAGCTTTCCTGTGTCCTGCGGCCGCTCAGTCTTAAATAAACACACAGAGGCTTATGTTAATTATAAACTGTTTGGTCTATAGCTCAGGCTTATGGCTAGCTAGCTCACTCATCTTAAATTAACCCATTTCTATCAATCTATGTATCACCACACATCTCATGGCTTTACCTGAGTTCC